AAGAGACAGTTTCTGGTCAATATGCATTGGGGGATTTTTTACGTGGATTGCCATATATGGAGTCAACCAATCACAGGTTCAACGCTATCTCAGTTGCAAAACCATGAAAGATGCACAAATGTAAGAAATATTGTAACGCACCGTAACATAGTGTCGTGAGATATCGTACTGGTGCGGTACTGTATACGATAATCAATAAAGATTTGCACCAGTACGAAATCTCACATGTCCAATGTACTTCGCCGGTGCGCTACAAATAACAGTACTGTATGATGGCTGATCTATCTAAAGAGCCTGTCTCTTATACACATCTTAATATACAATAGACATGGACATGATAATAATTGTTAAGTCGTGATAAAACTACAATATTTATCATGTACTTATTTGCATATAACCAATCTTATTTGAATTCGTAGTCACTGGCTTTACGCTGTGGGGCGCTGTTTGGGCTTGCGGCATAGTCTGTACCTTCTATTGTACTGTTGTAAGTTTTTTTATTACCATATTAGGAATATTTTGTTTTGATTGAAGACTAGGAGTGTTAGAACTATGATTTAGACTTAGCCATATAAATAATATAATGAGAGATGACAATATATATTTTTTAATCAAGAACATGAAATCTGTGTGCTTTAATTTCACTGTGGATACTATGTTTTTTTAAAGGGTGGACTTAAAGCGGTCATATGGACTGACGTATTCCAAGTTAGCGTAATGATTGCTGGTTTTATTGCCGTTATAATAAAAGGATCGATTGATATGGGAGGCTTTAGTAACGTATGGGATATCGCCAACAAAGGAGGGCGCATCGAATTCGTTGAGTATGTCGCATCATTATTGGTGGCACACAATGTATATTACTGGACCTATTTGAAAAACATAAAAATAAACATTAAGCTGCATAGTAGCACATTTAAATGTATTCGATCGACAAATATTCGACAACGATTATCAGTTATCGGGAACCCGGGGAGGGTATTTTACAGATGAAAGGTCCATAGTATGGTTGGGGCTGAGGACTGAGGTACGAAATGTTATGTCTTTGGAATGATACTCTCCGAAACGTAAATTTAAATTTTCTTCTTCTCAATTCTTTTAAATTTTCACAAATTTAGGGGGTTAAGGGAACCGGGCCTTCCTCCTTGAATCCGCCTCTGGCTATAGTATAAGTATGAAAAATGTCCTCTGTTGTTGTCGACGTCTCACGCCATACCCGACCTTTCGTACCCTTTCACTTATTACAGACGTATATAATGTAGTCGGATTGAATAAATATTGACTTGTGATATAGGACACTACAATGCCCTTTATATTTAATCTTCAGTTAGATGTTATGTTTAGCCGAAAGTTTGATTTACACTCGAATTGCCGACCTGGCTGTACCATTGTGTATATAATACCCAAACAAGTAGGAAAACTTTCAACAATTGAATTTAAACTATAAATTGCTAAAAAAACTCGAATCATTATCTTTAATTAAATCTAAGATCTGAGAAAAAGAGTTGTTTTTAATGATTTTAAGACGTAATTCCGATGTTTTTTTTGGTTTTTTTTTTTGGAAATTTTACACTGATTTTAGGAATGATATTTTCAAAGGTCCGTTACTTGGCGAATGATAATGTTTGTAAGAAGTGAAGAATAGAAGTTCCCCTATTGCCTAAAATTATACAAATGATAGTAGCCTATATTTTTTACTGCAACTTCTGGCTTCGAATTTGTTTATATATCCCGATGTAATTTGGTAACTATATTTTTTTAAAATTTGTATTTATTTATTTTTTTAACGGTGTCGAATGCATTAAATTCAATTAAAAGATCATTATTATTAATCTTGCGATTTATACCTTTGCAGTTTCCGAGTGGACCCTCGGGTACGTCATTCTTTCTGGTCAATATGCATTGGGGGATTTTTTACGTGGATTGCCATATATGGAGTCAACCAATCACAGGTTCAACGCTATCTCAGTTGCAAAACCATGAAAGATGCACAAATGTAAGAAATATTGTAACGCACCGTAACATCTGTCTCTTATACACATCTAGATGTGTATAAGAGACAGTGTATATATAGTGTAAATAAACGTACATATAAATATATTTATGCCTAAAATTATATAACCTCAACTAGTTTTCAATATGCCTATTATATACAATATATAATATTATACGAATGTAAATAAGAGAAACAGTGCTCCAATGGAGGAGCAAAAATGATGCTATGTTCGTGTTGAGTATAGTCCTTCAACGTATTAGTTTCTTCTTTATGTGTTGTTAAAGGTGGGAAATGCAACCTCTACACCAGTAATTGCGGTTATAATAAAAGGATCGATTGATATGGGAGGCTTTAGTAACGTATGGGATATCGCCAACAAAGGAGGGCGCATCGAATTCGTTGAGTATGTCGCATCATTATTGGTGGCACACAATGTGTATTACTGGACCTATTTGAAAAACATAAAAATAAACAGTGAAGCTACATAGTAGCAAATTTTGCCTCTAAATGTATTCGATCGACAAATATTCGACAACGATTATCAGTTATCGGGAACCCGGGGAGGGTATTTTACAGATGAAAGGTCCATAGTATGGTTGGGGCTGAGGACTGAGGTACGAAATGTTACCGTATGTCTTTGGAATGACACTCTTCGAAACGTAAATTTAAATTTTCTTCTCAATTCCTTTAAATTTTCACAAATTTAGGGGGTTAAGGGAACCTGGCCTTTCTCCTTGAATCCGCCTCTGGCTATAGTATAAGTATGAAAAATGTCCTCTGTTGGTGTCGGCGTCTCATGCCATACCCGACCTTTCGTACTCTTTCACTTATTACAGACGTATATAATGTAGTCGGATTGAATAAATATTGACTTGTGATATAGGACACTACGATGCCCTTTATATTTAATCTTCAGTTAGATGTTATGTTTAGCCGAACGTTTGATTTACACTCGAATTGCCGACCTGGCTGTACCATTGTGTAGATAATACCCAAACAATTAGGAAAACTTCAACAATTGAATTTAAACTATAAATTGCTCATTTAAAAAAAAACTCGAATCATTATCTTTAAATAAATCTAAGATCGGATAAAAAATTTGTTTTCAATGATTTAAGACTTTTTTTTGGAAATTTTACACTGATTTTAGGAATGATATTTCCAAAGGTCCGTTACTTGGCGAATGATAATGTTTGTAAGAAGTGAAGAATAGAAGTTCCCCTATTGCCTAAAATTATACAAATGATAGTAGCCTATATTTTTTACTGCAACTTCTGGCTTCGAATTTGTTTATATATCCCGATGTAATTTGGTAACTATATTTTTTTAAAATTTGTATTTATTTATTTTTTTAACGGTGTCGAATGCATTAAATTCAATTAAAAGATCATTATTATTAATCTTGCGATTTATACCTTTGCAGTTTCCGAGTGGACCCTCGGGTACGTCATTCTTTCTGGTCAATATGCATTGGGGGATTTTTTACGTGGATTGCCATATATGGAGTCAACCAATCACAGGTTCAACGCTATCTCAGTTGCAAAACCATGAAAGATGCACAAATGTAAGAAATATTGTAACGCACCGTAACATAGTGTCGTGAGATATCGTACTGGTGCGGTACTGTATACGATATTCAATAAAGATTTGCACCAGTACGAAATCTCACATGTCCAATGTACTTCGCCGGTGCGCTACAAATAACAGTACTGTATGAAGGCTGATCTATCTAAAGAGCCGAACATAATAGCAAATGGGTCGAAAAGGAAGTACACTGAATGCTAAAAAAACAAAGCCGAACGTAAATAGTAAATTGGCCGATGTAAATGCGCAAAATGAAAAACCTTTTCCGATGGCAGTATTTTCCATATTATGTACGGGACTTATTATGAAGCCATTCACACTGGTCACACAACGAGTCACAGAATCCAAGTGCAACCAGCAGGAAGATTTAACCCACGGAAAGGTTACATAAAAATCTCCTTTTTGTAATCCAATGTGAACCCGGCTTAAGCAGACATAAGCCTACATATTTTATCAATCTAAAATTGATTAGGATTAATATAGGCTAGAATATTAAGCCTATATGTTATAGTTACGATGTATTAAATAGAAATTTTTATATTTAATACAAAATGAGAGAAACTCAAAACCACAATTATGGCGTCTTTTCAGAGCTTTGTATTTCAATATTCTTGGGTTATTTATCATTGTTTCACTGGCGTCTATGTGTGGTTTGGTAATGTATGCAATATATGAAGACTGTGACCCGTACACTGCAGGGTATGTCAGCCAAACTGACCAGGTAACCTTTTTCGATAACAATAAAAAAAATAATGATAATGATACAGTATATACGGTTATTATTTATATTAATATAATACCATTTTTATACGTATTATCGTTATGATATAGTATGCATGCAGTAGTATAAAGGGGTTGCCATAGAGGCCTACAGGTCACCCCATTCCCCCCCCCGCCATTAAAGATCACCGGGGTTTCCATGGTCTTTAGCAGCTTTTTTCTCTAATTAGAATAAAGATAAAAGACCTTAGTTAATTTGAGACCACAGAAAAGTAGTTTAATTGGGGGTGGTCTATAGAGGGAGACCTGTTACTGCATGATTCACATTATCATTACATTTGCTTCAAATGAATACTATAATATTCGTTATCATAGTTACTTTAGGAAATATTATATTTCCCCTATGCTTAGGCCTATATTCTTACTTGTTGTTCATATTTCATTAGCATTTTGATTATATTTCACGAGTGCTGCTTTGCTTCACAGTTGATGCCTTATCTCGTTATGGACATTTTAGCTGCATTTCCGGGGATACCTGGTCTATTTGTAGCAGCGATGTTTAGTGGCGCCTTAAGGTAATTGTGCTTCCCCGATAAAATTAGACACAATTTTGATATTTAAAAAAACAAATAATGGATAATGTAGCGTAATTAGATTGAAGCTACAGTACTGGTACTTATTTATAACTTTAGTTTTAACTTTAATGCTATAGGCCATAATAAAGATATTCATGGTTAATGAGATAAAGCGAAATAGATGTTGTAATATCAATCAATCATATTTTTCATAGATCATAATACAATATTTTGGAAGTAAAGTGAACGTACCATTATTTGTCATTTTTGGACCTTAATTAATTTTGTTATTAATTTTTTATATTTAATCTTTAATCATTTGCGACTGGAGAGTAATAGCGTTTAATTTATGCCCATATCGATGAACGTGATAAAAGGTGCAATAACGCTGGTAATTTGAAAGTTAAAAAAGAGTTAGTTTTGTTAGAAGGTGTCGGTTATCTCCCACCAGCACTGTGTCCTCTGGACTGAATTCGCTGGCAGCTGTTCTAGGAGAAGACGTTATTAAACCAGTATTTAAACCCACCGAGGAGAGATACACGAAGATCAGTAAAGTAGTAGGTAAGAGAAACTTAATTCTATGATATTACTGTATTATTAATCTTATTACTACTATTCATTACTGTATTTTTACAGTTTTTTTGTTTGTTTGCTTGATGTTTCTGTTGCAGTTGTTGTTGCTGCTGATTCCCTAGTTTGCGGTGTTATCTCGATCGGCCCCACTTTTGTCCCCCTTTCACACATCTCTGGATCCCCACCCCCTGTATAGTACCGGTTAGTTTCTTTATGAGAGAGTGGAGCTAGTTGCTTATAGTTGTGTTAAAAAGTCCTGCAGTCACATGAATCGAACCCATGACCCTGAGATTAGAAGGCACTAGCTACACATCAACTCCACTCCTTTTGTCATAATTCAAGATACTTTGATTCGATTTCAGTATGTTCGTTTGGTTTGGTGTGCATTGGCATGGCGTACGTTGCTTCTCAACTTGGTGATGTTCTTCAGGCGGCTCTCAGCATATTCGGAATGATCGGTGGACCTTTACTTGGCTTATTCATGCTGGGAATGTTTTTTCCATGGACAAACTCAATCGTAAGATCCTACGTTATACGTTAAGTTTACGAGGTACATCCTGTAAAGGATCTAATGTTCAGTAAGCGGAGGGTAAAAGGGGCTGTATGGGCCACTATTCCGGGGTAGCCCCCAACTCGTCTCGAACGATGTGCTGAGTTGTTTAAAGTGCACATGAGCCTATAGTCCTTATCCGAGAAGTTCCACCACCACCAGAACCACAGACAAGCTTGCCGTTCGAACCAGCGCCAATATTATGGCAGTGGCTTGCGGTTCCTCTGTCTTAACCGCTGGGCCATTCGACTCTGCCATGATGTATGATGTCATTATTTATTTTTCTTTTTTCTTTTAAACCTTGATACCGGGTGTAGAGGTGTGCTTCCTTATATGTTGTCGCAACATTTCTGTAATCCTTTTATGTATTTTAAAATAATTTTATGTTTTCAAAGGGGGCAGTTTGCGGGTTATTCAGTGGTTTGGGATTCTCCTTTTGGGTCGGAATTGGCGCACAATTCTACCCACCTGAAGCACAATGGTTGAACAAGAAGGATCTCTCTACGGAGTTATGTAACGATAGTTTTACAACGCTGTCACCGTTTGCAACTACGATGATGCCAACAACAGAGGAGCCATAGTAAGAAAGTGCAATAAATTAAAACAAACAACTTTATGAGCCATAATTAAAATATAACTCACATGTTTAAGGAGTCGATTGCTGTAATTCATTAAGGTTATACAAGATTTCTTTATTGGAAAAACTTTTGCCCATGTAAATTTTGAGCATTATACGACCGTAATTTTTTAGATACAGAAGCATATTGTCTTGTGAATGTTTAACTTAGGCAGAGAAAAAAATGTTACAACTGACTGTAAAAAATAACCTGTAGTGGCTAAGCCTAAGTAGAAAAATAAATTAAAACATTTGCAAATACAGTACTTAAACATACAGAGGTGCATTTAAGCATGATTTAAGAGTAGGGGGTACTTACACGGGGAACTGAGAAGAGTTAAGTGAGGGGCGTCAGTGTTAAATGCGGGGCACTAGAGTTTTATCAGAGTGCAATTTTTTGCTCAGAGAATTTCCAGTGGTGGGGCTGGAGAAGGGAAAACATTTACTGCGCCTGACCCCACTCCCTATAGACACGCCACATCGGGCAAGCCATTGGAATCGACTTAGGCCCCTACATAGTTGAGCTTGATAGCTTGACATGATATAACAACGTTATTTTTTTTTCAGTTCAAACTTGGCTGAAACCTGGTACGCCATGAGCTACTTGTGGTATAGTGGGGTTGCGGTTTTATCAACCGTTTTCTTTGGACTCTTAGCAAGTTTCATATCAGGTACGGTATGTCCTCCAAACTCCGCGGTATAATAGTACGCCTTTTGCGAACGTCATACTTTACTTACAAAAACCTTTCGTTCTAAATAAATCGACGAATCAGATCAACTAGTGCTGTTGCTGTTGGCCAGGTTGTATCTGAATCTGTTATTAATAATATTCATTCATTCCAATTCATGATAATATTGGTTTTTTTTCAGGAGCGCGTGATCCATCCGAGTTAGACCCTGAACTTATCACGCCTTTAAGCGATATCCTGTTTTGCTGTTTTCCGTCAAGATGTCGTAAGGCATTACGATGTGGTGTACTCTACGACGACACTACCGAGGTATAGGCCTACGGGATATGTGTATTTTCATGCATTTTAGGTAGAATCAGTTTTATTTGTGTGTGAAAATGATGCGTGTGTTCATACGCCATTAGAGGTCATGCATAGGCCTATTCATTAGAATCGTTGCTCTTATTAATCCCTGACTCCTCCCAGCGATTAGCACATTCTAAAACTTGTCAGGTCGGCATAGCAATATATCGTAATTATTTGAATCCAATATTGAAAAATTAAGTCATGTATGTTAATTTTATTTTATTTTCATTACCGGATTGGAGATGCTCATGAGCATATAAGATGGTGGCGCCTTCGCCCCAAAAATAGGCAGATCATAAAGAGTGATGATGATGAGGAGGAGGAGAGTAGAGGAGGAGGATTAAGATATTAAAGATGGTTATGATGATTACTCTGCTGATGATAATAATTTTCATGGTTTTTTTTTTCTCTTTAGAACGCGACGTCATTGGATTATGTTGATACTAATGGATCGAAAAAGACCATGGAAAGTCAACATTACCAAAACGGAACGTATGAGACCGCTATGGTTGTGAAGTCATTTCCAGACTCTAATCAAGTATGTTTAAGCTAGGAACAGTTTTAGACTAACTAAATTCCAAAAGGGTTTAGTGATCTTGGAACTTAGAATTACTTATTTATGGTGCCTTATTTCTAGCCCAGACCCTGTGAGCACACAATATCACAGTGGAAAGCAAAGTTCATATGAAAACACACAATGTTCAACTTTCAGAAAGCCAACTAAATGTAAATCTGAAGAAGTCGGACGATATCTTGGAACTTTACTCTCTATAAACATCAACATTTAGTTTACTGAAAGGCCTACGTTACTTTAGAAATTCCATTACATATTCAACACTAAACCATCAAGCTCAATCGAGCACCTACCAAAAAATATGTAATGACAAGTCTCCACTACCCACGCACCCAACACATACAAGGCCAGGCCAGGCCATCCACTCAACGCACGGGTATATCAAACTAAAACACATACAACGCACAGGAACACAAAGTATCCAAACCAGAACAGATAGGAATAACAAGGATATATCCATTTCTCAATACATAATATATATTTGTTTTTGTTAGGCACAAAAGACGGATAACAATGGGTTTGACAACGTTGGATTCGATTAGCAAAAATGCGGATTATAATGGTTACCAACAAATTGAAAAGAAAGAGTATTGTATAAAGTGTTATCGAAGTTGTTTAAGTTGTTTTATATTTGTTCGCAAACAATATTTTCGCTTCTGTCAGAATACAATGACTTTGTGACGACGCATTACTTTTGTGTTGTGTATTAAGTGTTCAAGCCCAACCAAAGGTGATTCACTTCAGTTTATTTAGACTGAGTAGGCCTAGATAATGAAACAGTTAAGCGCACCTTAAGTGCATTACAGTAGTACACTCCTCAAGCACAATGCGTATATATTTTAATGAATTTTTCAGTGTAACAAAAATGATCAACATGTTGGGATGGAACATTTTGAAAAAGACATTTGACCATATGCAGAACAATAACTTTCTCTTCCTGCAGAAGTGAACAAGCTCGAATTCCATCGAGCTCTTTTAGTTCTGCGCCTTCAATTAAGGAGCAGCTTCTGATTCGAGTTTAGTTATTCTAGAAGTTTGTCTCTATTTATAAACGAATAGAAGTATCTCAGTATCTGTCAACCAGGAGTATAAATGAACACCGTACCTGGTATAATCTTAAATTATGGCATTCGATTTAAGCTGATCACCTTCACCAATGCTGGGACTGAGGTTGGTGTTAACACTGAGCCGTGTGCAGTGGATGACTAAAGCCAGGCACCCACACTGCGTGCCCGAGGGTCGTCGCTGACGCGATTCAATGGAGTACGCAGCGGCATAATGGATCGGTTTTAATGACGATCCGTTCAGACTGTCATCATCGACAATCAACATGCGGCGTCGCGTCGTCTAACGTCCACATGGAACGAAGTTGGATTCGACCGTCGTACGATGCAGTGAATACCCTACTTAAGAGATAGCTGAGAATTGAAGGTTTGCCAAGTGCTTTGGCAAAATGCGCAGTACAGATGTTTGTATTATTTGTAAGAAAGCAAGTAATAATCAATAGGCGTGTTAAATTAACAGGCAATTAATGTGGTTTCAACAAACATGTATGTCCCAACCTTAAGTTCCAGATCTTTATGGACGACGGACAGTAGGCCTATATGAATGCCGCATTTATGGTTAACAAAAAAGATAAATACGTACGCACAAACACCCTTTTGCTTTTGTGGCAACAAAAGTAGATGATCAGAAGCCTTCATTAATAAATGTTTCCCGTAAAAAGTAAATATAGTAAGCTGTGGTTGATGGGTTCCTCAATTTGCTTAATCAATTATTTTTTTCCGGACACCATTGGAAACAAACCTTCTATTTGAAAGGGTCATCCAATGCTTCCTCTTCACTTTTCTTTTGCTTTTAGGTATGGTTCCTTGTTTGATACGGTGATTTTTTCTTTATGTTTTTTAAGTTTAAAACTGTGCCTTTCGTTTCCTTATTTTTTTTTTCGTGAACTGTCTGATTTCTCTTTAACTTTTTGATGTTGCCCTTTGTCTTTTTGAATGGTTTTATTTTTGTATGTAAATTTTTACTGTTATTTCCTATTTCTTTTGATGTAGTTTTTATTGTTAAATGGGCTTCTTTGTACTACGAGCATGACATAAAAATAAACAAATAATTCTAAATTTGAAAATTGATTATGTGATTCTGTTAGCAATTTAATGTTTTTATTGAATTTGTAGAAGTTTTTTAGCAATATCTCAATAACAAGTTATAATGTAGTTGTATAAATCCAAATTCATGCATTGTTTATTGTGACTTTTAAAACAATGTAAAACAAAGTTTTAAGACTTTCATAAGAAAGAGAACAGTTATTTTATCACATAATTTGTTTATAATTTATTAAGAAGTCATTTTTTATACAATAATATTTAGTACCTGATAGGATCACAATTACAGATCAATTTATGCAGTATCTCAAACGACCAGATGATGTAATAGTGTTGTAACAGCTGGGCAAACGCAACTGACTCCAACATCCGTTATAGTTCTTAAATATTTTTTTTACATCCTGCATTATCTGCAACTTATATTATTCTAATTGTGACTTTTATAAACTGTATCTCTGCATTTTATGATATTGCTAATTCAGTTAATTGTTGACTATGGATTTGTATATATTCACCTATTATATGAGTGAATGATATCTATTGTTTTCAAGTTTTTGAAAAACATTAGTTGCAGATAATCAAATGCCTGCCTGCATTCTGCAAACCTCAACTCCTTTCCCCTTCTGATCTGGAATTGCACTGTAACAAAAATGTAGGCCTACATCAAATTCCAAATCATGCATCCAACTAATAGTATTTTTATCTATTGATATTTTATTTATTTATTAATTGATTTTTTTTGTGAAAATAAAAGACCATTAGGCAAAGGAGTTGATGTCACGTTTTGGATAAACCTTATATCAGGTATTTATTTTACATTATAAACACATTCAATGATATTGCCATTCAGTACAGATAAGTAAAAGCTCCATGCTTAATTCCTCTAGCAGTAAACAAATTTACTATTTTAAAAGTTTATCAACATAATTTGAGTGAAAACCCTCGTACAGGCTTTAAAAAAGAAACACTAGCTTCATTTTGTTCCCTTAGTAAAAAAAAACCATATGTAAAAAATTCAGACAATACAAATTTCACTATTATATTTCAGTGCTTTTACAAGCATAAAAATCCCCCTCAACGTAAGAGTATTTACGATTCTGCAAAACATGTGTTGATGCATAAATTGGTGGTTGATGAATGGATATGAAGACTGATTATAACTTCAGACTTAAATACTTACCATCTTAATAAAAGCAATGAAAAGGCCAGCAACCAATTCGAAGTTCAATATACATATTTCAATGAATTTATAAAATCCGTCCATTTGGTCAATCAATTAAATATAATAAATAATAATTTTATCAATTAAAATTCCTTTTTCCTTTTAATAACCAAAAATTAGCTAAAATGATGGATAGTTGAATGCAGCATACTTATTAGCCAAAAAGGAGCGACTGACAGTAATTGTAATAAATAATAATATATGCGCCATAGTATCCAGAATGTCAGAGTGCAAGGGTCAAGGGTCAACAAATGTACAACAATAAGTCAAGTCGTAGTTTGAACCGTGCATGCTCATATCAAGGTCAATCAGGCTCCGGAGGAAAACAACTTTTTGATATGTTGCAGAACTGATTTTCTAAGACAGAAAAAAGTATCTTGATCAAAAACTGAGCAACGGTGAATGAGATTCAGAATTTTGAATATTTAAAATCTGGAGGAAACAGGTGTAAAAATTGGCGGTTACGCCCCTTTTTCCCCTAGTTTTTAAATATTAAAAAATCTGTATCTCATTCACCGTTCCCCAGTTTTTCGTCAAACAACTTTTTTCTGTCTTAGAAAAATCAGTTCTACAACATATCAAAAATTTTTTTCCTCCAGAGTCTGACTTTAAATGCTTTGAAGCATACTTTGTCTTATAGAGGCATTGTATTATGGAATGAGATGTCAGATGTACAGAGAGGAGCTTCAACACTCCCTAGACTTGTAAACCTTTTGTAATTGTTGGTAGTGTGCATCTCTATAGCCTTGGCTGAAGTGGTTTTAATGCCAATATACAATATTTCGTATAGTATCGTATGGTAGGCTCCAAAGAGATCTACGGTCAGAATGTTAAGCCTGTTACCATACCTTCCTGTTTTTCTCATTGCTGATCCCCTATTACTTTCATTATCTGTTGTTTAATTATTTTTGTAGCTTCTCCAGCATTTGTTATAAAAAGTCTATCGTAGCTGACTAGTTTCAGGACGTCATTTTCCAAGAAACCATATTTAAACGTGATAAGTTCTGGACAACGCTTCTTAGAAGTTATCTTAGCAACACTAGAGAGGGCTCGTCTTGCAGTGATATGTGCAAATCCCTTACGATCAGGTATGTCCCGAAGAATGTATAGATGAGACTCCGTAAGGAGCAGGTTGCTGGAAAATAAGTTATTTGTATTACATTAAGTTACATACTGTATTTCAGCGCAATAACAATAATACAGCAATTTAAAACTTTGCCAAGGGATACAAGGAAAAATCAAAATAAATTTTAAAAACAAAATAAAGCTTGGCAACTGACAGTGAGACCAGACGAAACAAAACATCAGACAAAGAAAACAGTAAACTTGAACAGGTCAAAGCGATCTAGTTGTGGAACAGAATGTTGGCGAAAACTAAAGGCCGACTCAGACAGCGTTGTACGACACAGCCCGACGCAATTCATCGTCGGAGAGTCTTAAGCCATCATGAGAATATTAAACATTATTATTCTACGACGTGACAGTCCTCGACGCACACCAACGTGTCTGTGTTTAACTCACACAGATCCAACGTGTCAACAAATCGCGTCGGCTGCTTCATATGACGCTGTCTGAGTTGGGCTTGATGAGATGAGGAAACAAATGAATGGAGAATTGTTGAATAGAAATAAGGGAACAAATGTAAGCAGGGGTACTGGTTGGAGATTCATGATTAAATGTGATGGAAAGTGTGCAAAAAGAATTCTGTGCCCAATAGGCAACCAATGAAGTTGCCGGAGCAGTGGACTTGCATTACGAAAGCCGAAAAGATGAAACATGCACACCTATTCTGAATATTATTGAGCCTAGGAAAATCTCTCTTAGAAAGTTGAGCGGTTGGCTGACAGGCATTTTTCCTGCTTCTTGTGCTGAAACCCCAGTTCAAACCGGGCCAGCCTTGGGATTTAGTTGGATTCTGATCGCTTGGTTTTTCAAATAACCCTTACATTGAGAGTTAGGCGGGTTAAGGACAATGTTTGTATCCATTTGTGTCTGTTAAGTTGTAGTTAAGTTGGAGGGAGCCGCACAGAGGCTGCCACAGGCCCCCAAGGAACCAGCCTAATTTCTGATTTCCGATTACAATGAGGACAACTAAAAGTGCATTACAGTGTTCAATCCTGGAAAGAATATGGGCGTGGACAACATTATGACAGGTGTCCAAATCAATATATATTTCATAAACGGAACAGACCACAAAGCTGTTTATTATTGGTTTGTGTTTCTAGATGACATTTTCATTTCAGGATCAAAAGGAACGGCAAGATTATTTTAATAAGCTGATGATGCGATGAAGATTTCAGCTTGTCGTTAAGCAGCAACATATATTATGACATCCATAATTGCAGGCCGTTAATGCAAGATAACAGTGCGTAAAACATTTTGTAGTAAGATCAGTGCAAATAATTATAACAAGACCTACATCTTCAATGAAACTCACCAAGGACTCATGAAGCCATTATCCCTGACCTCCTGACATTTGAACTTGTGTGTGACCTCTGGTTTCTTGAGCCATGTGTCTATATTTACTACTTCCCTTCTGTCATCATCAGAGAGATTAGAAGAATTTCCATCTGTTAAAAAATAAATATTTACTTGTGGTAACAATAATGGTGTAAGAGCACAATGATATTATATTTTAAAGAATTGTATTAAAGGAAAGATAAAGAAAGATACTTTAAACCTTCGCTCTGCATTTCGCTTGTGTCCTTGGACAAGGCAGTTTACCTATGTTTGTCTCTCTCCACCCAGGAGTACAAATGAGTATCTGGTTGAAGTACTTGTGGGAGGTTAAAAAGGCGGACTATAAAGGAGCTGGCCACCCTACCACACAATGCCGAAGCTTAGTACAATGGGCTATCAGCTCATTCCAATACATTCAGTATTGAATACGAGACTGCATTTACGTTTAATAGCAGTATTATAGTCGGAATGGTTGCATATTAATAGTTTTGCAACATTAAATTTGTATTCGTTATTTTGCGTCAGTGAATATTGATTAGATATCTGCATCTGTTACATTCTGCACAAATGAATGGTGTTTCTAGCCCGTGCAGTGTGTAAACATGGGGGTCGTCAACAATATCTATTTACATTTTAAAATGGGTGTGGCTGTTAAAACTATATATCCAGCTTCTAAGATGGGACTTACAAGACTGTAGAGTAGGTGAACAATGAATATAGTCAGGAAGTAAATTCCATTCAGGAATAATTATAGGATACTGTATGAGATGATATTGTCTCTTACCATTGTCTTCATCATCATCTGCTATGGTGAAGACAGGCTGCATTTTACTGGCTTTATACCTTTTTCCTGTCACTTCACTACTAACATGGCTATAGAAAAAGATGAATTGAAAAGAAATAATAATATTGAAATTAAACAAACACAAATTTGTATATTGCTACATTGGTAACATTTCAGCCTGAATTACACATGGACAATTTGCGGGAACATTATGTGATTCTGCCACCTACCGGTCTTCTTGGGTCACTTCATTCTTAATGAAATCAATCATCTTATCTTTGACGGTTGCGGACTTGCTCTTTAGCGTGGATGTCAGTTTACCCATGAATGCTGCCCCCTTCACAGCCAATGTCGGCTGTGCTATATCTTCACACTGAATTTAATTTAAAAAAAAGAAAATATACAAATTACAAGTGTTTGGTGTCTTTTTTATAACTGCTTTATACAACCAACCTCCTTGAGGACTTGAATTAGGGATCTTGTACATACTCTGAGAATTATTTCTACAAGACCACCAAGGCTTTGTGGTAAATCAAACTGCTAGTAGCAATAAAAATATCACAATATTATTGATTGCTAAATGGAAAAAATAGCCTAAGATCTATAGATACACCCACGACTAAGCATTAGAAATGGAATGAATACTGGAATTTTATTGTAACCAGCTACAATTTCAACCATTTGCTACTCAACCTTACATATCTTAAATATATCATAACCAAAGCTTTCCATATATATTCTTTACCTGCAAATCTGGATACACCATGCATAATTATTCATCTATTCTATCTTTCTACAGAAATAACACTTTCAGACGGAAATAACACTTTCAGTGCTAAAGCATTGATTTCCAAAATGGTTCAGTATTAACCCTTTCACTGCGTGTACCCGGCAATGCCGGGTATAAACACATATTGTTGAATTGCGCGTACCCGGCACTACCGGGTATGTAGAAAAAATATTGTTAAAAATCAGGAAGAGGTTCTGCGCCCTCTATAGTTTTTTTCTATGAACTATAATTAACCTTTTATCGGAAAAAAGTGTTTTCGAGTGGTTAGGCGCAAAATGGCGGGTGCACGGCCTCAAAACAAACGGTACAATGTCGATGAAGCTATGGACCAGATCTTTGCAGATACGGATAGTGAAGATAACTTTGAATTGGATGATTCTTGCATTTCTTTTCCCCCAGTCGACCATGATAGTGACGACAGTGATTCTAAGGACGAAAACGATGATTCTCTCAACTTGGGAGGCCCTGCACAGGGTCAAGGTGGCAATGCCTTGCCCGCAGATTTCCTTTCCACATTTCACACAATAGAACAGGCTAATTTGTATAGTTCTAAAATAAAGTAACCGTATGATGTTTGCAACGATGCATTTATATTTACAACCTGGATTATATAAAGCATAAATAAAAACGTATGGCAAAAAGTACATCTAACAGTGATTTTCTGCAAAATTTTATATTTTCACAATTTTGAAGAAAAACTTTGATTATTTGCGGTTTTGGAATAAAACGATCAAACTAACTCATTTTTTTTGTTTTTATTCACCTTGTGTGTCTGCATCATTATAAAGTAAAAAAAAAAACATTCCATAAAAATTTCATTGGGAAAAATTGGGTTTTTATCAAAATTTGAGAAAAAACAGAAATTCAAAATGGCGACTTTGAGGTCACATGACTACCTAATTATGCAAAATACCAAATATCAATGTTCCTCGCGTATGCCAACCTATTGCTCGCCCCAACACACAAAAAGAATTTCGAAATAACCTCTTTTAGTATTTTTTTTGAATTATTTTAAAAATTAACTTTTTTCGTTAAAAAAAAAGTCCCAGCACAGGGGGTGCATATACCTACAGCAGTGAAAGGGTTAAAGCAAAAAACTATTAAAGAAATATAATTAAAAACAATTTCTTAATGTGACACTATGATTGATTGATTGACTGATGGATTGATACTTACAAGTTCTTCCTCTGATATGGCCATCTCTGGAGTGCATACAATGCATGTGTTAACAGCATGGTCTGTCAAACCTGTTCCAAGTTCCTTCTCAAGCAGCTTATGTAGTGCATTGAACCCACCTGCTGCTATGCTTACATATTGACTCTTTTTCTAATACACAAAATGATTCATTAGAATTATTATCACATACACCAACATTGTCAAAGCATGTGTGCAATGGTAAGGCTGTGAACTTCCAATCAAAACATCAGAGACGTTGAGGTTGTCTAATAAAATGCTGTCCCCCAAGAGTATAATTAATTTGGTACCTCCTCGGTAGATGTGAATATCTAATGTATTGATCATCAGTTGAAACGCTATATATTTTTTTTAAGTAATGGTAGAAAATGTATCATAGAAGACCAGCTGATATTCAGCCCCCTTGAATGAATGAATTAATGTGATAGATTATAAACTTTTATGAGGCTTATAAAGTAAAAAGTTTTTCCAGTTACAAAAAAAAAATTCCTGGTGTCAAAGGATTCGCACCTAGGAGTTTGGAAGAAACGTATCTTAACCATCCAACAAGCTACACCGTGCTTACAAGACATTACTGGATATTTCCCCAGGAAGTTGAGTACATGTTCCTTAGGTGTTTGATCCAATGAAAGGCAAATATGAAGGCCTTGTCATTATGCAAATTATAATATTATATGAGCCATTCTTCAGTAGCTAGTGACAAAAAGATATTTGTCATGCCTAAATATGGCCATGGTGACATCACATCATGACCATTTATAGGCACATCATGACTCTATAAATGGGCATGATGACATCACATCATGACCATATATAGGCACATCATGACCATATATAGGCACATCATGTCGCTATATGGTCATGACGACATCATATCATGACCATATATAGGCACATAACGACTAAATATGGGCATGATGACATCATATCATGACTATATATAGGCACATCATGACTAAATATGGGCATGACATCATATCATGACCATATATAGGCATATCATGACTAAATATGGGCATACATTAGTTTTCTGAAAAAAAAAATGTGATAGTATGGATAGAGCTAAAGTCTTGAGTACTACATTGAAGCCAACAGAAAAAACAAAAAACAAACGATCATGAAAACATGTGAACATACCTGCAGAAAATTGGCAACTACCATGTGGACATACTGGTCTTCCTCTTCCCTGCCACTCCCCATGAAGCAGAGGTGTTCTCCAGCTGCATCAGACCCTGCCTCTACAGCCTGCTGTTGAGCTGCTGACAATGCTTTGACGGCACTTACAAATTCTGTTGGCTGCTGTAGCATCTGTTAGAACACAATTAAATAGAATGAATTTTGAAACAGACTCGGGAGGGCAAACAAGAAAAATGTGAGATGTGAAATGAAAGCATTTAGAGATAAAATTGAATGAGGTACTTAAAAACTGGGAGTGGGGGGAAAGGTTATTATGAGTTGGTAAAATCAGGTTTTGGATCATACTGCAACAGCATATTCATTAATGAAACAAAAAAAATATGAGATGGAAAATGGAAGCATTTAGGGAGATACCTACCAAGTTAGCATCAAGGTGAAAAGCGGTTGGTAAGTGACCACTGTTGTACTGGTCTGCTGGACGACAATCAACAACAAAATAAGTTACACTATCAACCTATGAAACATAAAAACATGAATAACCAATAATTGACAGCAGCTTAGCTTAATCAATTGAACGGGTGATATATG